TCAGTTGCCAAGCTGTTGAATTTTTGAAAAACGGTCATATTTCTCACAGCTTTTGTAACTGAATGGTCACGAAATGAACTATTGTAAATCACGGGACTATGTATAATAAAAACATATTTCAAAAGACCCCATTCTAGCTTACAGGATTTAGGAAAGATTTCCTATTTAATTTATTTAATCTATCTATATAAAAGCGAAAGGCTCCTCACGCATCGTCACAAAATCTCCAGAACTGTAAAGCCTACAAACTTGAAATTGGGCCCGTAGGTTTGGCTTCTAGGGACCCGCTAAGAAAGGATTTTTCCAAATGACCCTCAGAGCATTTAGACTATTTCCATTTATGTTTTATGCCATCCAGACATTAATAAACAGAACAGTAGAAAGATGGTTATCTCTTTCATCCCATATCATAGAGGCAGGGGGTTGAGCTGCTCCCAATTGTTGTTGTTGTTATTGTTATTATTATTAACCCCTCTCTGATGCTAAGGAGTTCTATTCCCCCTCCTCACCTGAAAAGAAATCTCTTCCAAAGGCAAAACACAAACAGAGGAATTTCAGTTTCACAGCACCCAGCAGCTTTAGGACAGAACAGTTGAGCTAAGCCACGCCCAGGCTCCTTGCTGTCTCCTTCTTGCTCACACAGCAAATACTCTTTCAGTTTCCAAACAGCCCTCCACTCTCTCTCCCACATGGACAAGACGCTAGTCAGATGAATACGCATGGATGCTGGTAGGCAGAGGCAGAATTCCCCCTCCCCCTTATTTTCCTCCCCCAAAACTAAGCCCCACCGCATAGTTTTGTAGCGAAGCAACAAATAATTGCAAATATGCAATTATGCTCTGTTCAGACAGAACCCTACGTTAAATCCAAGCTACCGTGTTTCCCTGAAAATAAGATCCTGTCTTATATATATTTTGCTACCAAAAAAGGCACCAGGTCTTATTTTCGGGAGATGTCATCCACTGACTAACCTCATTTGCGTGGGTCACTCCTGGCCTCCTTTTCACTGTCTGAGGCCTTCAAGAACTACTTCTTCAGTATGTGTTAATAATAACAATATAGGAAAATACTTTAAATGCTACGATGGTCATTTTGGAAAATCCTTTCTTAGGGAGCCCCTAGAAGCCAAGAGGAACATAGGTGCCCAATTTCAAGTTTGTAGGCTTTACCGTTCTGGAGATTTTGTGGTGATGCATGACGGGCATTTTGCTTTTATATATATAAAAGATTACGTTGTGCCTTTCATTTCCTTGTTTGCTTTTTAGCGGTTTGCACAACCTTGATATACAGTCAATTAGAACAATGTTTTTTTCAGAATTGGCCTCTTTAAGACAAGTGGACTTCAACTCCCAGAATTCTGCTGACTGGGGAATTCTGGGAGTTGGAAGTCCATCTGTCTGAAAGGGGCCAAGCTTGTGAAAAACAATTTAGATTTTGACTTCAGACTGCAGCTTCCAAATTCTGTCTCCAACCAATACCCCAAAACCGGACATTTTCTACACACACCCCTGCCTCAATTTGGGCCTTATATTGATTTATGTACTTTAATTAGAGATTGCTATTTTGCACTGATGCTGTTACTAGTTTGGTCATGAAATGTCTGCAAGGAAACCACCAAACTCGAGAGAGCAAATCCGAGACCAAATCCGATTTTTTAGCCTCGCAGAAAATGCATCCTTTTAAAACCCCCAACTAATTTTCAAAACGGGCAATCCGTGGTATTATTTTTCTTTTAATTTAACTTAATTTAATTTAGTTCCTCCACCCCCCACCCCCAGCCCCCTAGGAAACAACCATCATCCTGGCGCCGGCTCGACTAGCAAAATTTTGGAAGAATCAAGAAAAGCTTTAACCTGCTTCCTTTCGCATCGTCTTTAACAAAAACAAGGAGGCCAGTGAGGCTATACCACAGCGTAAAGAGACGAGGGGGAAATGATTAAAGCTCTCCCCGGGCCTTATTCATTCAGAAATATTTTTTTTCCATCTTAAACACGATGTATCTCGATTTCTACGTGCAAAAAAAAAACCACGTAAAGCCCTTTCTTAACAATCTCAAATCCCACCCCCTCCGACCCCTTCTTTTGGTTCCTTCCCACCGCAAACAACAACGGAGCGGACTGTACTATTCAGAGGATGATTCCCGAGACGGGGGGGGGGGGGACGGAGGTGAAATCGAGCGCAAAAGTGACTCCGATTTTCCCGCGAAGATTTAAGCCAGCGCTGGCCTTTGCATCGGTTCTACTCCGGTTTAAAAGCAGAATAACCGTCCCGGTGTGGCGAACGTCCATTGCAGACACCTGTTTCTCTCCCCTCTTTCCCCCAAATCCAGGAAGGACTTTTAAAATACACTTATTTAAAGGGAACAGCCCTCAAAGAATGTGATGTAAAGGGGGGTTGGGGGGGGGCTTCCATTGTGTCAAGGGGGGCCGAGGGCAACTTTGCAGCCAGGCTGTTTTGCGGGAATCCCCCTCCTTCCCAACAAAGCCCCCTCCCCGCTTTAGATCCATGGCATGTCATGGGGAGGGGGGGGTCTTATTAGCCACGAAGTTCAACAGACCAGCATTCATGTCTCTTCCCCCACCCCCCAAATCTTCCTCCTCCCACCTCCTAGGGATGTGATGCAAAGGGGGGGGGAGACATGGTGTCAACTTTGCAACTAGGCTGGGATTTTGGGGGTGGTGGTGGATGGGGGGGGGACCCTTCCCCGCTTTAAATCCATGCCGAGGGGAGGGGGTCGCTTCCTCCCTCCCCCCCCCCCCCCCACGCTCCGAACGGAGCGTGGGAAAAAGAGAGAGAAAAAGACGCCAACGTTCCATCGGTTCGTGCCAACGTTCCACAGCCGAACGCTGAGGTTCCCGACGTTCCATTTCCCTCTCAGCGCCGCTTTCGCTTTCTTCGGCGCCGGCCAAAACCGGTCAGCCGGAGCAGAACGGAAGCACCGGGTTGAGTCAGCCCTGCAAAGAGCCGAGCCCGTCCTGCGGCTCGAGAGGAAGGGGGGAGGGAGAGAAGGGACACCCCCTCCTCACGATACCAAGACACCTCCCCCACCCCCCTCTCCACCCATCCCCGCGGTTACCGATTCTGCTCGATCCGGTCCCCACCGCGCTGCGCTCCGCCCGCCAGTGAAAGCGACTTAGATTTCCAGGTCTCTCTGCAGGTTTCCACGCGGTGGGGATTCCCCGACTTGAACCCGCCGCTCGCTCTCGCGAGGTGGGGAAGGAGGAGGCGCCCGAGGCGATTTTTGGAGCAGGCATCTAGCCGGGCCCCCCCGGCGGGAGAGCTCTACCTGTTGCAACGCCGCCTGCAATGTCTCCCCACACACCCCCTCGCTCCCAAGAGGGTCATTTCTGCACCCCACGCATCACCCCCTCCGCTGCAGAAAAAGCCCCCCCTTCCTCCGGCGAGGCTTTGCAAGGGCCGGAACTACACTTCCCATCATCCCTACGCGAAAGGAGGGGCCAAGGAAAGACGCGCGCCCCTCCTTTCTCTTGACGCAGAAGTTGGACTGCCTTCTGTCAGAAATGGTAGGGTCTCCCGCTTCTACGGGGTGTTGGTGGTGTTGGTGGTGGACTAGATGACCTTGGAGGTCCCTTCCAACTCTGACGCTAAAGAAATGAACCCCCCCCCTCCCCACAATTCCCGCCGAAAGAGAAGACCCTTTGCAACTGGGAACTTTTTCCAAAGAGTTTTTGCAAGCGGAGGGAGGGGGCCAAAGCCGCGCCCCCTTCTTTCTCTCGACGCGAAAGGAATGCCCCCCCCCGCCACTTTTCCCTCTCCCCCCCTCCCCCATTCCCGCTGAAATAAGAGAAGAAGACCCTTTCTGCAACTTTCCAAAGAGTTTTGCAAGCGAGCCTCCCTCTTCACGAGCAGTCTATCGTGCAAGAAACAACGGGACGAGGCGTGATGAGAGAGCTCGTTTTTTGTTTTTTTTTTAAAGAGGCTGGACAGTCTGAAATGATAGAGGGTCTCCTGGCTTGAGCGCGGGGGAGGGGGCGGCGAGGGCTGGACTAGAAGACCTCCAAGGTCCCTTCCAGCTCTATTCTGATTGATTGATCCCTTTTAGGGGGACGGGGGGGGGGGGGCGGAACGGAAAAAGGAGGAAAGGGAGGGGGCGGGGGCGGGGAGCAATGAGCTAGGCTGGGACTGCAACTCCCAGGATTCCGCGGCTGGGATAGACCACGGTGGGGGATCCTGGGAGTTGAAGTCCGCTCGCCGCCTTCAAACGAGCCACGGTGGGGAGAACACCGAGTTAGGTGGAGGAGGCGGGCTCGCGGGGACGCGCGCATGCGCGTGCACGCACCTCACCCCCCCCCCCAATCCATCCTTCCTTCTCTTTCCATCGCCGGTTGATTAAGAGGGGAGGGGGAGGGGGAGGGGGGAGGTTGACTCTGCCGGCTTGAACCGGTTTGGTAGGAAGTCAAGTTTGGAAGGAGGAGCCAGAGCTGCCGCTGCTTGCCTCTGGAATGTAAGGAGGAAATTGGGGAGAACAGAAATAACAGGGCTGGGAGGGACCCTGGAGGTCGTCTAGTCTAACCCCCTTGCTCAAGCGCAGGAGACCCTACTACACCGCTCCGGACAAATGCTTGTCTTCTTAAAAGACCCCCGTAATTTCTCTTTTAATTCCAAGGTTGCTTCTCTCCTGGATGGGTTTCCATCCTGTGCGGGGGTTGGACTAGATGACCTACAGGGTCCCTTCCAACTCTGCTATTCTGTTGCCCTGCCTTCTGGGGTTTGTTTGGACAATAGGTGGACCCCCTCTCCTTTGGGGCAGCCCCTCAAATATTGGAAGATGCTATCATGTCACCCCTCCAGTCCTTCTTTTCATTACATTAGATTCCATTAGATTAACAAGAGTTGGAAGGGACCTTGTAGGTCATCTAGTCCAACCCCCGCCAAAGTAGACCCTACACCATTTCTGACATTTCTCTCTTGACTTTGAGATAGTCCTTGACTTAACAACCACAATAGGGATCAGGTTTGCCGTTGGCAAGCAAGACATGTTTTTTTCCCATGGTTTCTTTCCCCGTGGCTGTTAAGTGAATCACGCAATCGTTAAGCGAATCTGGCTCCTCCCTCATTGGCTTTGCTTGTCACAAACTGGCCGGGAAGGTCCCAAAATTTGGTCATGGGGCCCCTGGGAATGCTAATTCCCGAATTATGACACCCGTCACTGCAAGTGATGTTACAACGACGGTTGTAAGTCTGTGGACCGATGGTAGTAAAGTCGCTTTTTTCCGGTGCCATTGTAACGTCGAACAATCCGGAAACGAGGTGTTGTAAGTCAAGGATTACATTGTAATATTTCTTCAGATGGGATCTACCCACCAAGGATCTCTTTTGAGGGGTTTACACACACACACACACACACACACACACACACACACACACACACACACACACACTTCAGCTTGCAAAATTGCTAATTGGGTGAAACAAGCATAAACTTTGTTT